GTTTTCCCCTAGGGACGATTTATACCAGTCTGAAGCCAGTGCAAAATAAAGATGCACCATGTTTTCACCTTATTGCGGAGGGATTGCAGTTTTACAACTTATTTTTCGTTCATTGCAGTTGGAACTCGATGAGTGCCGTAGTGGTAAACGCGACCAGATTCCCCACCCGGATTTGTCTGGAGCCGTACTACTCAACCGACTTCAAGGTAAATTCGGTGCTTTATTCATGCTTAAAATTTTTGTATCAAAAATGAGAATAGATTCAGTCTAGGTTAACAAAGGGTGGAAAGAAATGTGCAAAAGACCTATTGAACTTCACCGCTAGCACTTATGATTACGCTAATTCCAATGGAACAACGCTCACGGATTAGATCAGGCCTTTGTTGTAGGGTTTCGTTGCATACAGCTTAATTGTACTTGTAGGAATTAATGGTGATTCCAAACTCGATAGTGCGTTAGCGGACTCCACTCTTTTTGCCCATTGAGAAGGTGACTTTGCCCAATGGATGTCTCGCCCAGTCGATAAGTCGCCCATTCCATTCCCCACTTCCCTCCCTACATCACTAACATAAGTCAACTTTACGCTCAAGTAACTACCAGACCTTTACCTCTGTAAAGCAAATCAGAAGCAAAGTGTTGCACAATTTGCAAGCAAAATTAGGAAGAAAATCAACCTATCGAGAAGAAACGTAGGAAATTATCGCTATTGTGATTTCGGGATTTATTCGTAGTTGTTACAGGAGAAGTGAGCGCTCTCAAGATCGCTAATGCTACTTTAAATGTAAGTGAAACGGTTTCTTTTCAATCAACGGTCTTTCCGATTTCATTTTATTTTTCGTGGTTCACTTACCTAATTTGTAAAAAAGAATTATTCTCATCCGTGATTCACCCAGTTTTAAAAGTCGCACATTATCTAGATTGAGTAACTGCGCAACAACTTTAAAATTCAGGAAGAGATTCGAAAGAAAGAACAGTCAATTCAAATATGTAATAAGCAAGTGGTAGATATGAAGGTAGGTCAAGATCATTTCATAAAGACAGTTGAAGATTCATGGAATCGATCGTGTTTTGGTAAACAAAGTTTTTTCAGAGTGCAGTTTTTAAATGTCACGAAATGGTCAGAAAATATGTTGGCGTGAGTCCATAGTTTTATTAAAAGAAAATCTGAAATATATGTACCGATTAGTTGAAAACTGGCATGATTCGAAGGGTCTTCACGGGTGACATAAAAATTTATTCAAGTAACAGCAACAAATGTTTGATAATTCCAAGTATGGCTATTTTCTTCAAATACTTCTCTCAAAGCTCTTTTCATTCAGGGAATGCTTCAAAATATGTAAGAATTTCAATAAGAGTTTCACCGATTCGAAGGTAACCGGGTTACATAGTAAAGATGACAGCATTATATCGAGAACTGTGATAAACTGTTAGTAAATGAGCTCATTGGTCTTAAACCTTCTTATTTGACAAGTGACTTCAATTCGAATCATACGACTCCATTGTACGTATAGAGCGAGGTGGTATCTTGGTCTGAGAATGAATTGATCGTTGGAAGGGACCATGGAGCAGTGCTACCATATCCAGGCATTAGTGCAGCCATTGTTGAAGGACCGGCGTTTGCGTAGAGAGTCTTAATAAGGTGAATAAAGAAATAAGGATGCAAAGAATCTTTAGATGAGTAACGAAAAATGGCGAACTATTTACGACGAACCTTGACGAAAAGCGGATGAATTATACAAATGGTAGAGATAAGTATCGAGAATAAAGGGAAAAGTATGATTCTACAATAGTTCTTTTTATTTAGACTGTAAAAAACTGTAACGGAAGTTTTTGGGTTTGTGGTGGCTTCAAAATTTTCCCTTACACCATGAAGGCCCCCTTTTTGGTATCTCAGGCTTGGAAGTGGCACGAGGCAAATTTTCCTTTTTGATGACGTTATTTTATAATACGGTACTAGTTTTTTCTAAAGCCGTTACCAAATTCTTTCCCGTCTTCATAGAAGTGCGTAGAGTACCTACCGTGTCCAAATTTTTATTGGAAGCACCCATATAATGTTGTTCTACCGGTTGAATTTCTTGCTCGCTGTTGTTGATTTGAGGCTTGATGTCGATCGATTGTTTTGCTTCCTGAATTGCAAAAAAAAGACTGCAAGTTTATTGTAGCCCATATCATATATGTTTTACCGGTGCTAATATTCCACTAGTCCCAGCAGGAAAAAATGCGCTGTTGTAGGATGGTAAAGGTTGAGCGGCAAGGGCGGGACCAGTCTGATCGAACGATGTCATACCAACAGCAGATAGGTCAGACGGCATTTGATAGGGTAAACTCTGAAAGTTCGTTGTCAACCCACTAGTCAGTAACACTAAAGGAAAACCTATCCAGATGTGCTAGGAAGGACATGGGACTGTGAGGAGGTTCCAAGGGTAACTTCAAAGAAGTATAAAGCAAAGGTCACGAGGATGAGTAGGGTTTAAATATTTGAGTCCTTCAACTTGATCATATGTATATTTTTCTTTTGGTTTATCCCCACGAAAGTTCTAGGCTTATTGTTAGCCAACAGAACTTTAAGAGGATATAAGTAACAGTATGTACTTGACAGATTATCGGTAAGCTGTGGTCCATAGCGATGCTCATTGAAATGAAAAAAATCCATGGCAAAAAACGTCAAGTTTCGTGAAAAGTGCTCAGTCACTGCTCAAACACCCGAAAAAAGCAGAGGGAATACTTAACTCAATAAAATTCCCCCATCAGAAGTAACATTCGTAATCTGTTCCAGGTAAAGGTATTTCCCATAGGTCTCGTTCATGCCGTTTAAAAAAAAGGCGCTGATCATTGATTCCCATTGATTATCTCAACATGGGCACTTCCAAAGAGATATTCGTACGGAAAGCTTAGACTTAATCTTAGATCTGTACTGTGTAAGCCATGCTCAATGGCAGTTAAAGTTTCAAAGACAGGGACGGGACTCTGCGGAGGTCAAGGGATGCGAGAATTGTGTTAGCCCGGCTGTAGAGTACAATATTTATATTTGATTATGAAAGACCACTCTACTTCTCGGAACAATTTACTTACTCCACCCATGAGCATCATGTGCATGGGGTCTAATGCCGCTGCACCATGCATACGTGAAAGTTGCCACTGCCGCAAGTAGGATAGT